GCAGGATTGTGATCCTTCCCTTCCGCCCGTCTGTGTCCAACACGTCCTGCTATCTCCCGGGCCCCGCTGGCCAGAGCGCCTGCCGCAGGGGACAGTGATTCTCAGACACACTCACTCTTCCTTCAAGATCGGAGGCCAGGCCCTCCTGTTTTGTCCCCTGCTGGACATTTAGGAATTTTCTTGGGGTCCTTTCGGGTGTAGAACATTCTAGCTACGGCTGACTGCGGTCAGATGGGGTCACGGAGGCGTCCTCATTCCTGCAATCCTTTCTGACACCTTCACATCACACACTCACGTGTGCACGCACACACACGCACCAGCTCCCGGACCCCCTTCCCCGCTCGGCCAGCTCCTCCTCCAGCAGGCCCACACCCACCCTCTCCCTGGGCCCCCGTGGGCCCCCCTCCCCACCCCCTACCTGTCCCCAGCACCCAGCTGGTCGTCACAAACCAAAGACCATTTTCCACGCAGGGAGCGAAACCTCCAGCACAGCTCCTTTGAGCCTTTGACAATTTTCTCTGAAATACCTCAAAATATTTAATGTATAGTTTATGTGATTAAAAAAAAAAAAATCCTTAGCTAGTTTTTGGAATACGTGACTTGAAGCTTTATACCGTTAAATTATAATTTTGCAGACGATGGTATGTCATTTCTTTGACGAGTTCCGTGGGAGACATATTGAATGTCGGGACAGCGAAAAAGCTGGGCGCGGGTCAGAGGCAAAGGCAGAGGAGAGTGTGAGCGAGCGACCGACCGAGGGCCAAGGACCAGGCGTTTACAGATGTCTTAAACGGGTCCTTTAGGAAAGAGAGGGAGAGAGAGAGAGAGAGATTGAGAGAGAGAAGGACACCTTTGTGTTCTCTGGCGTGTTCTGTTTCTCGTTTTTGGAGTCATGTCTTATAAGAGTATTTATTATTCTATGTGTTGTGTTCAAATGTAATTTAAGAAAAAAAAAAGGAGGAAAAACGGGGAAAAAAGACGCAATGGAATTTGATTTGATGCATGACTAATGTACTCTTTCTTGATGATGATGTGCTAAGTGGGTGGGTGGGGGGTGGGACGGGCGCGGGCGAGCCCCAGTCCGTGTGCATCCTTGTGTTTCTTGGGGTCCTGCTGTTCGGGCCCCTGTGCGCTGCTCTGTTAATGTCCCCCCTTTCCGAGTGTCTGTGTCCAGCCGGCGGGAGGCGGGGAGGGAGGAAGCGGAGGGCGGACCGCGGGGCCTGAGCGCCCAGACGGGGTCCCCGCCTGCCGGTGCCCACATGCCGCCCGCCGGCGCCTACAGGGCCTCCTGTCCCCGGTCCCTGGGCGCAGGCGGCTGTCACCGCCATCGTGGGCCCCTGTTGGCTTCGCGTTAGCGTGGATTCCTAAGTGTCTTGTTCAGAGGAGAGAGACAATCAGTCAGTTCGAGTCTTGTCGCCCAGGGCGGTAGGGGGCTGGGGTGTACCCCAATTTCCTGAGACCCAAGCAACCCTCCTGAGACAGGCACCAGCGGGCCTCCCCCCGGACACCTCAGCATCCGGCCCTGGCCTGGGCCAGAGTTCGCCTTCCTGTCGGGCCTGGGAGGTCCATTTCTGAGGGGGCCCCCTCCCAGCCCATGCTGGGACCCTGGAAAACAGAGAGGCCCCCAAAATCATGAGGGGGGGATCTGGACGGTCTCCCTGCCTGTGACTCTACTTCTGCCACGAGGCCCCACGACCTGCCCCCCCCAGGGGAGAGCCCACCTTCCAGGGCGGGACCCAGGAAGGGGGCCCCCATGCTCTGACGGCCAGAGAACCCAGTCTAGGGTTGGGGGCCGGGGCCGCAGGCTCCACCCACCCGGAATGGGGGCGGGGTGGGTAAGTCCCAGGGCCCCTGCCACCCTGTCCCCCCTCCCACCGCAACGGCCATTGCAGCTTCGCCGGAAGCAGTTCGAGCCACACCAGCTCTTCAGGTCCTGGGCTCCCCGCTCCCCGTGGCCCCGGCACCCCTTCCCCTAACGTTAGAGGGGACAGAGCCCTCTTACCCCACCCCGGGCCACAGGCTTATAGTTTCATCCGTCTCTGTTAACCATTGCTGTGCTGGATTTGTTGTTTCGTTTTTCTCCAATAAATTATTTTCTAGTCACTCACTTGGGCGTGTGTGTTGGCTGGGGAGTGGGTGCAGTAGGGAGAGGAAAGGGGTTCGCCCAGCCCGAAGATGGGCAAAGGGAGGGGACGGAGGAGGAGGAAGCCCGTCCCACCAACCCCCCCACCCCGCCCCATCCCAGCTCCGCCGCGGGTGACCCTCTGCTTCCCGGGCACCCGGCCCCCGGGGGTCCACCTTCCACGGGAACAGTTAAGAGTGGGAAGGAGAAATCACGCCTCATGACCAACATCTTGTGGGGACAGGTGGCTGAGGCGTCACCGCCTGTTGCTTTCTGGAGCTGGAAGTGTAAGATGGTTTATGGGGGGGTGGGGGAAGGGGCTGCATTGGTGCCAGAATCAGACCTCGTC